GTTAATACTGACTGCGTGTATTGTTTCTTGTTCAAGATTGTTCCAGTCGTTTACTACTCTATTTGTGAAAAAATTATGTCGTTTTATATTTCCTATATATTGCCTTCTCAGTTTACTATTGTGACCTCTAGTTTTATATCCATTATCAAGCATTTCGGGTTTTGTGTAAAAATTTATAATATCGCAACCTTTCAACTATTTGAACACTTGTATCAAATCACCCCTTCTTCTTCTGTTCTCCAACGATAGTAAATCCAACTTCTTTAACCTCTCTTCATAACTGTATCCTTTCAAAATTTTAATTCTAGAAGCTCTTTGTTGGACACACTCTAGTTGATCTTTATCATACTGACAATAAGGATTCCAGATAGGAGCTGCATACTTCAAATATGAACGTACTAAGGCTATAAACAAGAGTTTCATTGTTTCTTCGTCTAAATATTTAAAAGTGTGTTTGATCTGACCTAGCTTTTGATTTGCTTTTTTTACTGCTTTATTTACATGGTGTTTCCATTCCAAATCATCTGAAATGTACACTCCTAAATCCTTTTCCATGCTTGTGTAGGCTAAAGCTGTATTTTTCATTAAAACTTTGTGATGGCTATTTCCTATTATCTTACATTTTTGCTGGTTGAAATTTAACCACTCATTCGACCATTCCATTAATAAGTCTATATCTTGTTGAAGTTCAAAAACATCATTATCGTTTTTTTTTGCTCTAAGGATTTTCATGTCGTCAGCAAATAGTTTACAGCTTGATTTTATTTTGTTGGAGATATCATAAATATACACTACAAATAATAGCGGTCCGAGCACTGATCCTTTTGGCACTCCACTCACGACCTCTTCCCATTCTGATATGTTATTTCTTATCACCACTCTTTGAAGTCTGTTCTTTAAAAATCCCCGGCACCAGTCAAATAGTTTTGATTTAAAACCAAGAGCATTCAATTTTAACAATAATCTTTCGTGATCTACTGAATCAAACACTTTGGCTAAGTCCAGTAACAAAACTATTATACCCAAACCATTATCAATTAAACTTGTGATAAAATCTAGAGATTCCATTAAGTTAGTCACACAACTTTTATTATTTACAAGTCCATGTTGGTTTTTATTGGTTAATTTATTGTCTACTAAATGTTTCATCATTTTATCTTTAGTTATTTTTTCCATGACTTTACAAACTACAGATGTTAAAGATACAGGTCTATAGTTGCATGGGTTCAACTTGTCACCATTTTTAAACAGGGGGACGATATTTGCACACAACCTTAATTTCGGAAGTATACCCGTTTCGAATGATTTATTAAACAATAATGATATTGGTTTGGCTAAAGTAGATTTGCACTCTTTTAGAACTTTTGGATGAACTCTGGAGGAACTTTAAGTTAAAAAATTTACAAGGAATTTAGTTTTTACAAGGAATTTAATTTTTTTGTAAAAAATAGAAATTAAATACTTTATATTTTACCAATGTGTGTTTAAATAATATTAGATGTGTTTAAGAGACACTAGATGTTTTACCATTTTCATTTTCATTAAAATAGCGTATGTTTTTTATGTTCTCTTTTCATAAAAACATGCTTTCATCTGCATCAGTTTACTTTTTTTTAATTTTTAATTTAAATTTCATTAACTCGACTAGATTATTTATTTACAAGTCTTGAAGGAAACATCAAAATAGCAGAGCTAATCAAGACAAGTTCCTCTCGTACCAAATTATTACTCATACGCTGAGTAGGCGGAGCCCGGATTTGAACCTGGAATCCTGCTGCTACATTACAGCCAATAATTTTTCCGAAATTTTAGCAGTTCTTTAACCAACTGACCTATCCTGGCTCAAATAAATGTTTCAAACTCTATTCTGGCTTGATTAGGTCTGGTGTCAAGACTGATTTTTAAAAACTTACCTTTCTCTAAAAGCTGTTTAGACTTGTATAAAACTTTCTTTAGGAACTCTGAAGTAAAAATTATGTGTCAATTAGTATATTCTCAGGTGCTTAGTTCAAGAAGAGATGGAGCTAAAGATAATAAATATCCCCATATTTTATTAAGCACCTAAAGTTACTATATTTATATTGGCAAGCTGTTCACTACAATTCAGTCTCATTAGAATAAACATCATTGATGAAGGCATAAATTTATTATCTTTACATAGAACTTTGTAAATAACTATTATATTCCTTATTAAAGGGATTTAATGAAGCAAAAATAATTACTTCCTTGATCCAATCAAAAAAACAACATTCCTTTGAGGAGCAGTGACAAAACTTTTTGCAAATATGTCTAAAACAAATTGTGCTAAATATTTATTCAAAGAATGCAAGAGTTACATTCTATTTTTTATATTTAAAGGCCTATGTATAGAATTAATATTGTTTGAAGTACGCTGACACGAACTGACAAAAAAGGCTGCTGCGCAAAGAAGCAATTTGTTTGCAGTAAAAATTTATAAAGTAGGTAAAAACATATTTAATGTTTACAGATAAATGTCATTTTAATTCTACCAAACATTTCATTTTAGTTCTACAAAAATACAAGAATCTGAACTAGTAGCACATGTTGTATTTTGCACAATTCACAAGTTTTTAAACTAGTAGCGCTCGTTTTATTTTCAGTTTTCAATATTTTAGGCAAAAAAAGATTTATAAAAGAGGTTTTGAGTAATCTTAAGCGGTAAAAAGGCTTGCTAAAGTTAACACATAGCACCGGCTTTGATAAGAAATATATACTTATATACCTTTGACCTTCCTGTGCAAAAGTTTTTTATACATCCAATTATACTAAGGAATCTGCTTTTTTTTAAAGCGCAGTTTTCATTAAAAACACTCCATCCTCAATTATTTATTTTCAAACTGTAAATTTTTAACACTAAAAAAACTTGATATCAAACTTGATTAATTAATTAATTAAGTTATTTTGATAATAAATAAAAAAGTAAAAAATTTCAGTCTTAGTAACTATCGCACAAACTTAGTTTTTGAATGAATAAACTTTTGATCTTAAAGTAGATATTTTAGTTTACGCGAGAAAAACGAAAAAACGAAAAAACGAAACATCAACTTTTTCAGAAAGTTTTGTTTATTTTTTGTTATTTATTTTGACTTTTAAAATAATGAAATAATGACTACAACAACTAAATAAGAGTTTTATAAAGTTCAGTGAAAATTTAACTATAGTAAATATAACTTATTTATCAAACGTAGTTTTTTAGTTATTCTTATAAATTGAAAAAATATTTTAAAAAATATATGTTTTTTAATCAAAAACATTTTTGAAATTATGTTTACCGTAATTGTCTCTTTATATATTATCTTAAATTTAAAAGGTGCCTTAAAATCACTTTAAAAATTATCAACCATTAGTAAAAGTTAAATGAACAGATTTGCTAATATTCAAATCAAAATTTTAAAATTAAAATAATAGTAAATATATTTATTAAATGCTTATATTTTTTGAATAGTTGTTCTAATATGTAAATCTATTTTGTTAATTTTACAAATATAACATGATATATGTAAATAAATTACGTAATGTAAATATTATTTAAAAATTAAATGTTTAATTGCAAATTATTTAAAACATTAATAATTACTTAAAACTTATTACACACTACATTAAATTTACTAAAACACAGTTAATAGATGTTTAAAATACTTTCAACAATTTTCAATAATCATTGAGTTGGTTTGACAAGATTCTAACTGATTTTTTTTTTTTTTTTTTTTTTTTTTTTATATTAGGAGAATATCAAATAATTTCTTTTTCTTTTTTTTAATATCTAAATAAAAATATTTATATGATTATTTTTTGTTTGTTTATGTATTTTTATACATCATCTAAAAAAAGAATATTTATATAAACAAATAAAAAAACAATAATATAAAAAGTTTCAATTAAACCTTAACAAAAAGTCAACTGATATTTTTCTAAATTCTCCAATCTAAAAGATTCTCCTAATATAAAAGATACCAGTGTTCAGCAAAATAGTGTTTTTATCTTAACATAAGTAACATTGTCTACCGTAAGTTCATGTCTTCAAAAAAATGACTTTAAATCAATTCCTTATTTTAGGTCAAAACCAAACAAGAGTAAGACAAATGAATAAAATGATAATTGAAAAAAATGATGATTAAAAATCAATTTACTATTTGTGCGGTTGAATTGTTAGCATTCCTTGCAACTTTTTTAGGCTTGTGCAAATAATTTTTAAACGTTAAACATTGTTTCAATAAATGAGAAAGTGAAACTATTTACCTCTTAACTTATAGGCAATAAATTGTGAATGCAATACATAGTAAAAGTTTTACCAAAAGATTTTTTACCATTCTAGACAAATTACTTAAACTTTTTAGTTGCTTCAATCTAAAAATATTTAATGCAGGTTACTATCTGGAAACATCGGAAAAAATAGTCTAGCATATAAAAGAAATTGTCTAAATTTAGCCTCTTTCTACCAATCAACTTTGAGCATTAACGGTCGCCTTCTAGCAATACTAATTTATTAGGAATGTATTTTATTAATTAGAATCAATATTTTTGTATTCTTAAATCTATTTTAGCTAAGCCTGTAGCTAATATTAACAATTTTGTTGCTAATAAAAACATAACTTTATCAAATTTTCTTTTCATTTTTGAAATAAAGTTTCTTTTAGAGAAGTCTAAAGTTTTTCAAGCGGATTTTTAAATTTTGAGAAAATATAAAAAGCCGTAGTCATATCATCAAAACAAAATATTATTTCCATGCTCATATAATGGCGTACAATAACATGCGTTTCTTTTAAGGCATGTAGTAAAGTAAAATAAGGTAATTGTTTGGTCATTAGTCTGTGATACAGATAGTTGTTAAACACGCATAACTATTATTACCAGTTTAAAAAGAAGTCATAAATAACTTTTTGTGTGCGCAATTTTATTTGAAAAGAACTGATCATTTTTACTATGATTTTCCAATTTTTTTTGTTTTTTTAATATTTGCTTTGCTTTTCATGACTTAGGTACTTTAAGTAATTGGAGAGAATGGTCAGAATGCTCACACACCTGTCAACCTGATTTTACTGTACCATATCAAACTAGAAGGCGCGGTTGTTTAGACACTTCTTTAAGTGATACTTGTTATGCAGATTCAATGAAAGAATTTAAAAACTGTAATGAGTTTCCTTGTCCAGGTAAAAGAGTGTTTTTTTTAATTTAGATATTTTATGTTTTATTTTAATAAAGTTTTAGAAGACATGTCATTCATTTCTTTATTTTTCTACTCAAATACTGGTCTATCTATCGATGCTAAAATCTTTTGTTTATTTTCATTTATTTTATGCTTTTTACAATTTTAAATGTAACTTCCATACATAACTCTACTTCTTATACAATTTTTTTTTCTATGACATGTTTTAAAGGTTCTTTATCCAATAAAATTGTTCTTAGCAACTGTAAAATTTTTCTTTCAATTCTTGGTGAAAATATTTTTTAGCTCGAACACATAATTATAGTAGAATTAGACTTTTTTTTTTTTACATCTTCGCTTCCAACAAGCAACCACTATAAGAGTTGGAAGTTACTAAAAGAGAAAAGATGAAGTTTGTGGCAGAAGTGAGATCCTCTTCAAGCTCAAATACCCCAAGTAATCAGAGAGTGTAGGCTTTTTATCATGACAAGAATAAATGGTAGTGTCGTCGGCAAACAATGCTACCTTAGATGTGAGACTGTGATCTGGAAGTTCATTATTACAAATTAAAAAGAGTATAGGGCCAAGGATTGAACCTTGAGGAACCCCTAAAGTAACAGTTTATGAAGAAGAGTGTTGTCCATCAAGGACAACTTTTATACTATGATTGGAAAGGAAGGACTCAATAATCTTAAAGATGTTACCAGATACACCGTAAGAAGAAAGCTTATGGAGAAGACCAATGTGCCAAAATTTATCAAAAGCTTTATAAATGTCAAGTGCGATTGCCTTAACCTCTCCACCTCTATCTAATGCACGATAAAACCTATCGGTTATTACTGTTAGCAAATCAGCCGTAGAACGAGAAGATCGAAGTCAATATTGATTATCAGAAAGTTATTTGATTAAAGATGAGAGATTAAGTGTTTGTTGATTAAAGATTCAAAAACCTTGCTTATGATAGGAAAAAGATTAATGGGATTTAGTTAGATAAATCAGATCGCTCTCCGGAATTTTTGAAATTAGGGATAACAGATGTAGCATTTTAGCATGCTGGAAAACAAGACTCTGAAAAGCACTTGTTAAATAGTTTTGAAAGTATGGATGAAAGCTCCGGAGAACACTTCTGTTGACATTTTGACAGATAAAAAGTTTTTGAAATTATTCTTTCAAAACTAAACAAAAAGAAAAATGCTGTCGGTGAAGATCTTTATGTCGGTGAAGATCTTTATACTGCTGTTTTAGAAAGAACTATTAAAAGAAGAACCTCTGGTTTTAGTGGACAAATTGTTACGATAAAATTACTGAAAACTCAATTCTTTTTTATCCAAAAAAGAAGGATTTTCCATGAATAGCAAAAGATCTATATAAAAGACTTTTTATTGTATGGTATAATCTTAATTGAAAATAGTCAATTGAATCAAATGACAAGGGTACTGCTTTAAAATCTAAAGAATTGTTACCAAATAAGAGTAAAATTGAAGAATTTTATGAATATTTATCTGACGCTGTTATGGCTTTACTAACTAAATTTATATTATTATTTATTAAAAAAGAACTTGCATTGTTTGAAGCATCTAATGATTGACGAAAGAGTTTGGCAAAGTTAAATTCAGCTCTTACTTTTTTGCCACCTTTATCTGTGGAAGCTGAAAAATGCTTCAGCATTTTTTTTACTAAACTTAGAACATTATTAAGTGATGAAATGATTGATACATTATGTTTTTTAATGTCATATTAAACCGGAAATAAATTGTTTTCAAGTGTTTGGCTAAAGCAATCAGCCAGTTTTCTTATTATGTATAAAATAAAATATGCCCCATATGAAGTATTTTGTTATATTGTTATACCAAGATATTAGCCTACAAAGGGATGTATTTAGTTTTTATCATGCAATAATTTACTTTTAACTAAAAACAAATGTTATTATTGATCCCATAATTATTTGAACCTAATATATGTTATTCAAATAATTTTACAAAAGTTATTTGCTGTTTAAATAATTTAATTTATCAATTAATTCAAATTATTTGGTCAGCCCTAATTGAGGTCCTGAAATCGCATTCCTTGCCTCACCACTCATATAATGCTATATTGTTTTCTAAAATTTCCTTTATTTTTTTGTATAACTAAGTCCATAATAAATCAAACTGCAAAATTTTTTTTTTATCTGATTTATTTGCATTAAACGTTTTCTTATAGTTAACTCAAAAAGTATAGCAAGATATAAAAAAAAACAATGAATAAAAAATATTTTTTTATCTTTTATTTTTAATATCATTGCTTCTAACCAGGCTGCAAGTAACCACTATTAGAGTTGGAAGTTACTGAAAGATAAAAGATTAAATTTATAGAGCAAGAGAATGAATAACAGAGCTAAAAATACTGTAAATTATATAAATAGGAAAACAACATTACAACAATGATATAATAGTTAGAGGATGGCTGCAAGAGCATGTTCAACAGTCCAAGAAAGATCAGAGTTTAGAATTAATCCTTGAAGATGAAGGGTAGACGACTCGTCAAGTACATTACCATTCATAAATATAAGAAAATCTAGATTATTGCGATAACGATCAGCTGAAAAAAATTGAGTTTTATCTAAGTTAAAGTTCAACCAGCCACTGAGAATCCATGCTGAAGCAGAAGTGAGATCTTTTTCAAGCTAAGATGCCACGTTTAAGCAATTAGAGAGTGTTGGCTTCTTATCAAGACTAGAAAAACTGGTAATATCATTAGCAAACAATCACTTTTTAAATATAAAAATTTACGTTAATACAAATTAAAAAAAAGTATAGGGTCATAGATAGAACCTTAAAAAACCCCTGAAGTTACAGAATTTGAAGAAGAGTACTGTCTATCGAGGAAAAATTTTATACTACCATTGGTTAAGGCGGACTCAATAATTTTAAATATGTTACCTGATTCAATATAAGAAAAGAGCTTATGGAAAAGACTAGCATGCCAACTTTTATTAAAAGCTTTAGAAATGTCAAGAGCAATAGCCTAAGACTCTCCACATCTATCTAATTCACAATAAAAACTATCATTTAGTACCGTTAACATATTAGCAGTAGAACGATATTGATGATCAGAAAGTAAATTACTAGATTCAAGATGAGAATTGAAGTGTTTGTTAATGAAACATTGAAAAACCTTGCTTTTGATAATAAGAAGACTAATTGTATGGTACGTAGACGAGTCAGATGGCATTTCAGATTTTTTGAAAATAGAGACCGCTTTTTAGCAGGCTGGGAAAAAAACTCTGTTTTGTTATAAAATTTTAAAATTATTGGCGACAGCTTTAAAGAACACTTCTGCAAGACTATAACAGATATGCTGTCAAGACCACAAGCTGTAGACCAGAAGCTGGATTGAAACAAAGGTCAGGCACTGAATTAATTTGTTTTCCAGCTATATCAGGCATACCAGCTATGTCAGCTTTATCAGCTATATTAGGCAGAACACGACTAGTGGAATCAAGAGATGATATTGATGAGAGGTTCATAGCAAACAATTCAGCTTTGTCTTTAGGTGAGGTTGCAAAATCTGAACCATACATGAGAGGTCTAACAACAGATTTACCCTTTTTATAGGTGCAGTGAAAGGTTCTCCAGAAGCCACGGGAGCCTAAGTTTTTAGATATATACATTATATTATGACGCACTGATTTCTAGCAGTAGTAAACAGACATCTGTTTTCCTTAGAATTGTTTTGCTTATAGATAAGATATTGCTGATAGATAGATATTAATAGTTACGATTAAAAATTGCAGGAGCAGAATGAGAGGAAAACCATGGAGAAGAGTTTGGCTTTACTTGGAATTGTCAAGGCGGAATAAAGGATTCCATGCCAGCTTAAATAAATAAAGTATCCAGCTTAAATACATACAAAAAGACAGAAGATTTCTACCAAAGGGCAATCACAAAGAATATTAGGGAATGAGTACCAGTCAGCTTAAAATTACTCGTAAGAATTATGATGATAAGGTGATTCTTATGATGAAGAAAAATAAGGTAATCGTTTTAGAGAGATAAAACTGTGATCAGAAGCACTTAAAGGTTAATGTAGAGAACCTGAGCACTGGCTAGGATCAGAAACAAGACATGACTCATGTAGAGAAAATAAATGGTTTTGGATTGTGTGGAAACTTCATATGTTTGCCTCAAAAATTAGCGTATATATCAATTAAATTATTTGTTAAGAAGTCAGGTTTTTATGTGCTTATGCTTTAGGTCTTGTCACTCTATCACATTTCTCATTAATTTTACTAAGACTTTATGAAGTTCATCTCAAGACTGCATTTTTTTACATCTAGTTTTTAATCAAACTAACCATGTTTTTATTTTATATATCTGCCAATATTGCTGTTATTGGTGACTTTAATGCTCGTCATACTAAATGGATTGGGTCTAATACCGCTGACTCTACTACTACTGCTACTACTACTATTACTACTACTACTACTACTATTACTACTACTACTACTACTACTACTACTACTACTACTACTACTACTACTACTACTACTTCTACTACTACTACTACTACTACTACTACTACTACTACTACTACTACTACTACTACTACTACTACTACTACTACTACTACTACTACTACTACTACTACTACTACTACTACTACTACTACTACTACTACTACTACTACTACTACTACTACTACTACTACTACTACTACTACTACTACTACTACCCTCTATATGCAGGCAAGTATGGAAACTTTTATTTCTTTTTGTCAGTTTCATATCAAGCTTCATTTTACTCCATGCTTCTTTTGCAGCCCGCTATATCTAATAGTAATTATTTTCTTTAAGTCTTTGAATAAAAACTTCCTAACATCCCATCTGAAGTCAAATAACAGACAATACCAGGTAATATGAGTTTTGATATTCTCTCTCTATGGATGACATACTGTGCATGTGATGAAGCCACTGTGGCTAGATAAGGGCTTTGGATAAGTTTAGCATGCTGGTCTTCTCTTTAAGTTTGCTTTATGTGGTGCATATAGGAAAGTTTTTAAGATGTCAAACAATTTTTTTAAGTTTTTGTGGTGCATATAGGAAAGTTTTTAAGATGTCAAATAATAATGTCAAATACTCTTCTTTAATTCCACCAACTTCTGCTGCACCTCAAGATTTTATTCAAGGTCTTATTGCTTCTTATATATATTAAATATCTTCTGACAATCTTATATTAGGGTTGTGTCTTATTGGAAGATTTTTGGTTTCTCTAGTTTCCAATTTAAAAAACTGGTGAACTTTGGTTTGATTGTAAATGAGAAGTCATTGGTTTTGTTTAAGTTTTACACACTTACACACTGGCTCCCATATAGCAATGAATTTTCTTTTCTTCAAAAGTATATCAACCCGGGTCTCAAAAGAAACATGATTTCAAATAAATAATCTTTTATATAAGTTAGTTTATTTTTTATATTTATATTATCTAAATAATTTATATTAGTTTTTTGATACACTTTAATGACGTAAGTAAAAAAAAAATTGTATTAGTTTTTTGATCATAATTACTTTATACTGAAATATTAACTTCGAGTCTTATAATTTGTTTTATTTCAAGTATTGTTTCTTAGTATCATAATCTATTTTTTAGGTATAAACTTGAGGACCATTAGTTAATATTGTTAACATCATTGCTAACATCAAGTTAACAGTTTTGAAGATAAAGACGTGTGAAAAAGATAATTAAAAATGTAAAAGCAGCAAAAAAATTTTTACTTTTTTAAAAAGTTTATCATCTTAAATGTAATAATTTCTTAACGAATATTTCATTTTGTATTTTTTTAAGTTTTTTTTTTGAGTATCAAGAAATATAGTTTTGAATTGTTTTTTTATACGTACTCTATGAATTTATTAAAAAAGGTGATAGTAATATTGTATTAGTAATGATGATTTTTAAGTTATGATTATTTAACGTGTTTTTTATTTATCAAAACTAATTCGAGTTATGAAGAGCATTTATGACGTTTATAATTTATGCATTTATGACGTTTATAATTTTAAATAAATCTTGAAAACAAAATCTTAATTGTATTAACTTTTTAAAAAAAATCTTGAATATAGTATTTGTCTTATAAAAAACATGGAAAAAAACTTGTAAAAATGCTCGTTTTTTTTTACTTTTAGATGGAAAAAAATAACAACATGTTTTTCGCATTAAAATAGAAAACATTAATTTTCTATAGAGAAATTATTTTCAAAATTTTTATACAATTTTGCTTGATTTTAGTAATAGGTTGACCTGCCTTTGAAAAAATTTTTTTTAATATTAGTGACCCTGTAACTTGAGGCAACTTTGATAATTCTTTTCATTCCATCCTTTTCTTTTACTTTCGTTGTATTAAATGTATTATATTTTATTATAAAGGTAATAATAATAATAGTTAATGGTGTTGAAAGCGCTGGTGTCGATGACAGCCGGTATCTATGACAGACGGTATCTATGACAGCCAGTATCTATGACAGCCGGTATAAATTAATTAATGAACAAGTTAATTCAGTTTCAAAATAATAAAAACGTTAATAATAAGTTTATTTTGTTTGTTATTGCTTCTAAGTCGACCGATTGCAAGTTTAATTTGAAGCTTTTAGCTTTAGTAGATTGAACGACTTCTGCTGGTAAACTATTCCATCCATCAACGACCTTATTGCTGAAACAATATTGCCTTTTAAAACAATTTCTGACCAATTTAGGTTTCATTTGATGTTTTGTTGCTCTAATATTGTTGCAGGACCTGATGAGCAAATAGAGTTCATTGTTTGATTATGTTTGATATCAATTATTTCAATACCTTTTAATGTTTTAAATTGCTGAATCAAGTCGTTTCTAAGCTTTCTAGTCTCCAAAGTAGTCAAACGCATAATTTTCAATCTTTTTTTGTACTCAAGATGTCTTGGTTCCGGTATCATTTTGGTTGCTCTTCGTTAAATTTTTCTAGTTCATTAATTTCTTTTCGTATTACGGACTCCATGCTTGAATCGAAAACTCTAAATTTGCTCTAACATATGTACAGTAGAGTGTTTTTATTAAAACTTTATCCTTCTACTTAAATGTATTATTTAGTAGTGAGAGCATACTATTTGCTTTACTAGCAGCATATTTTACTTGTTTGGCCAATATCAAATCACTTGATATATAAACACCAATGTCTTTTCCTAGTTTTGACTTTTCAATTTCCATTAATATATTGTTATTATTCATAAAATATGAATATTCTTTATTATTTGAACCAAAGCGCATAATTTTACATTATTCAAAATTGAATCCCAATTTCCATTTTGTTCACCATTCGTCAAGTTTATTTATATCATTTTGAAACAATTGTGAATCATTTTGTGAAAAAAAAGGCGCAGTTATCTTGTTATCATCAGTATATAAATGACATTAATTAATAAAATTTTCTGATTAACTCATTTACAAATACCAGAAAAAGGAGAGGACCAAGAATACACCCTTGTGGTTCACCACTAAGTACATCAACCGAATCTGTCAAACTTTTATCTAAAATAACTCGTTATTTTCTATTAGCTAAGAAACAGAGTATCCACTTTTACCTAAAATACCAAAATTCAATAACTTGGATAATAACTTTTTATGTGAAACAGTATCGAAAGATTTCTTAAAGTTTGTGTACAATACATTAACCAGTGTTCCATTATAGAACACATATGTAAAAGTATCTAGGTATTCTAATAGGTTTGTTGTACAACTCTTGCTATTCATGCAAACAACCATGTTGTTTTTTTGAAAGTAAATTATTTTTTATGACTTTTGCATAATACACTCAGCTGTTATTTTTTCCAACACTTTACATGGTATTGAAGTTAACGAGACTGGTCTGTAGTTAGATGCTTTTAATTTGCTTCTTTTTTAAAAAAGTGGCATTACATTTGCCTTCTTCCACATATCTGGTATGGTGCCTGTTTTTATCGATTTTTTGAACTCTAAATAAAATGGGTATGATATTGACGAGCTGCATTCTTTTAAAACATAAGGATGAACAAAATCAAAACCGCTTTAAGTCTAGTTTGAACATCATTATGTGTTATTAAAACTGTGTTTAATAATTAATTTAAAGGAAAATTATGAAACTCAATAATACTTGTACCATTATCAATAACATCCATAGAATAAAAGTATTTATCAAGTTCAGTAGCTATAGCGAATTGATCGTTTATGGTTTCCCCATTTTCAATTTGTAGAGCTCGAATTTGAATTTTCACTAATTTCTTCTCATTGATATATTTATAAAGGAATTTCAGGATTTGATTTAAACATGCTAGCTATAGTACTTCCTAATTAATATATATAGATCTTAATATCATTTTTTTATTCTAATTTTCAACTTTTTATACGGAGTTTTTGTTTATTCATCCTTTCAGCCATTCCGTTTATTAGCAAGCCATATATACAAGCCATATTGCTTTTAGTTCTTATTTTTTGTTTCAATTCAGGAGTAATCCATTTGTTTCTCTTTCTTCTATTTTGATAATTAATTTTTAAGATAAACAGATTAGTTGCATAATCGTAATTATACAAAAATAAATCATGCATTTCATTTATAGATTTACTTTTAAATCCATTTTCCCAATCCACATTATTAAAATAACTTTTTGATATAATCTAATGAATTTCGTATGCTCGTTTGAAGACTTAAGATCATTCATTAGATAATAATACTTTAATAAATGATGATCCTGTTTGACATTCCCTAAAGGAGCTGAGTGAATTACAGAAATAATTTTGTTTTTATCGTTTGTAATAATAAGGTGTAAAATATTAGTTGATTTGTAGTTTACTATTTGGATTGTTGGCTCAAAAACAGAAAACAATCTTCAACGCATTTAATAAATATATTAGTTTGAGATTCATTATCAGTTGCTGTAAAAGGAAAATTATTATCAGACTAATCTATTGTATTATAGTTAAAGTTGCCTGTAATAATAAGATCGCTGTATTCTTTCTGATAAATACTCGTTTTAGCAGCAATAATGAATAATAAAACAAAGATATTGTACTAATGAGATACATCTGGTGGACTATAAATGCATCCTGTTCGCATTTTTTTATTTTTAAAACATATACAAGCCCATATTTGTTTAATAAAATTATCGTTGAGCTGTTAACTATTTGTTTCAAACTGATTAAAACATTGTTTTACATAAATCTCCACCATGGATCTTTCTATCGGTTCTGAAATTATTTTAACTAATTATGTTTACATCCGACTCTGCTTTAAACCAAGTTTCTGTAACACAAATAACATCCGGTATATATATTTAACATTGTAATCTTAACTCATCAATTTTACTATTTAGAGACGTTGCATTTGTATATCAAATCATCAGTTCTTTGCATTTTTGAGTATCGCGCTTCTTGTTTATGCTTAAATCACATTTCTTACGCACATGGAATTTGATTAATTTAATATCTAGCTGTCTCTTATCGCTCAGCAACTTATTAAGATAATGAACTTCAACACTAAACTGATTTATTTTATTGTTAGCTTTATAGTTAAAGCATCGTATATGATTTAAGTCTTTTTTGGCAGTTGCCATTTTTTTATTCTTACAATCTTGTTATTTCAAATACCAAAGTAATAGTTTGCCGTGTCAATGTTGTCAGTATTTTGTTTTTTACGCTGTTCTCTTAATAGCTCTGATTTGTACCGTTCAGGTTCAGTCAAATCAGGATTTATAAATACATTTTCATAGGTTTTATCTTTCTTCAGTTCCTAGTGATAAAATACATAGTCTAAAATACAATTTCAATTTCTAGTTTAAAATACATAGTCTTTCTTCATTTCCTAGTCATAAAATACATAGTCATACAAGCCATAGTCATAAAATATTTTATTATAACTGTTATTATGACTATGTTATTAAAACAACAATATTTGGAGCTTTATATCCATTTTTTTTACTTAGATTTTTTGATTTAGAATTTTCTAAATCAAGAAATTTTTTAGTCCGGTTTGCATTATCTGTTCCTAAAGTTTCTAATAACTTTTTTAAATCTACAATTATCGCGTATTGCTCACACTTGTAAGTATTGAAATCGCCATAACATGTTATGTTTAAGGCTTGTATTTTACGGATCCGGAAGGCTAGGATGTATATGGAAAAAGTAAAAAAAAGTTTGGTATGGAATAGACTTACAAAGACCCGTATTTTTACGGGTCCGATCTCAGCTAGTATATTATATTTTGGCGATTATTATATTTATAACATTTATATATTAAATATTTAATATATAAATGTTATAAATATAATAATCGCCAAAATATAATATACTAGCTGAGATCGGACCCGTAAAAGTACGGGTCTTTGTAAGTCTATTCCATACCAAACTTTTTTTTACTTTTTCCATATACATCCTAGCCTTCCGGATCCGTAAAATACGAGCCTTAACCAAGCCTAACATTTCTATCCATATCTATTCTGCACTGATTATTTATATACCTATTCTCTATTTAATTCAATACTTTTTAGTACAACAATTAATTCTGAAAAATACATTCAAGAATAAAAAAACTTAACATGTGCACCTTTTCCGCATATATAGAGCTTATTAAAGACTTATAATTAGATTTATTTTTCTACTAAATGGATTTCATTTGATAGCTCAGTATTCAAATGCTCTGTCATCAGTTTTGTTTTAGGCGGTTTAAGACTTTTCTTTAGCGTAACAAACTTTGACATTTTTTTAATAATGCTTATATACTTATAACAAAAAAATAATAATTTAGCAAAAGAGATTTCTTAAATTTAAAATAAAATCATAAAGTTTTCTCATTTTATAGATATATTAGTTGTCATGACCCGTAAAACACGGGTCTTGATCGATTTCGCATCGTCTTTCTCCAAATTTATTCCACATAAATTATAAATTTATTTCACATTGCCTTTTTCTATACTAATTCCTTAATTCAATTTTTTGTAGTGAGTTGTAGAAAAAAAGCTATATACATGTAGAAAAATCATCATTGTTGTTTCCTTCTTAAATCAATGAAAAATAAAAAT